AGTATACGAACCACCTTCCGACACCTGTAAGAAGTTTGTGCAGCGGAGGGGAGGCCGAGATACCCCTCGCCTACTGCAGTGCGTTGTTGGCGCTGGTGATGGAAAGGATGTTGGGACAAGCACGTGAAATAGGGGTCGTCTTGCCGGTCGGTCATGGACGAGAGCGAGCAAATGTCCCGATGGGCCGCCCGATGTCTGCAGGCCCACGAGAACTTGCGCCGCTGGTCCCAGATGGCAGCGTGGACGGGAGACCCCGGCCGCGATGGCGAATCGGTTGGGTGGTCGCCACAGAACGTCGCAATTCAGCCTGCCATGGACCTGCAGGTGGAGGGGGACGTCGCGGCCGTGGCCCCAACGTGGAGTCGCAAACGGGGAGAGGTGCCGCGGCAGTCACGGGACTGGAAGCCGCGCGAGGAGGAGGATCGCCTGGTATGGAGGGCCGCACTTACCTGCTTCCGTTGCGGCCAGCCGGGGCACTTCGCGCGGGGATGTCTGAGCCTGCATCAAGCCCCGACGACGTCTCCGGTGCCCCCGACTCCATCGACGGCTGCATCCTAACCCCAATAGGCAATTCGCGACACATCAAACACTCAGCCCTGTTACAAACTCATACACCTAGGCTTATGAAAGTCATCTCCACCTCGCATCGCATTCATGTTGCCGCTGGGCGGCAAGGCTTAGTTACACAGGGGTGGCCTAGCTCGGGGACACAGTGGAGGAAGTTAGCACGTCGGGTGATCGCGGCCACTGCGGGGGCCTCGGCAGTGTCGAGTTCTATTCAAGGAATTGAGGTGCGGGTGTTAATTGATACTGGTGCTTCCGCTACCATTACTTTGGACGTGATTTTTGACCTGTTACCGATCAGCGACTGGTTTATTAGGCCGGTAGTGAACACTTGCATTGCGGCAAATGGTGGTAGTATGGGGATTATAAGGCAAATAGAGGCCCGCGTTGAGATTGGCGAGATTGCAGTTGTTGGGCCGGTGCTAATCTTGAGGACGCTGGTAGTGCCCTGCCTTCTGGACACCGATTTTTTTTAGCAAAATGCCCCTTAAGATCCTCATTGATCAGGGCTGTGTGGAGATGCCGTCGGGCCGCAAACTGTTTGCGGTCCCCACACAGCAGTATGGTTGCTAATGTTAAGGTCCAGGCTCTTGCCAAGGACTCGGTGCAAATCCCGCCAGGATCGCAGATGTTGGTGCCGCTGCGCTATCGCAAACGGTTACAGGTAGTTGATCCTGAATCAGGCGTCTTGTTGACTCCGTCGAATGTGGTGACTCGGAGATTGGCGCTGGTTGGCACACAGACAGTCGTCCACCTCAACCAGGAGCCGTTCTTGCAGGTTCTCAATGCGGGCCCGGAGACGGCTGTGGTTCAGGCGGGGACAGTGTTGGCTGATGCAACAGCCGCGTTTCATGAAGGTGATGGTGTTGCAGGCGATGAGATTGTTCGGCGCGGTGGAAATGAATGTTGCAGAGGACGAGACTTGGGCGGAGGTGTTATGAGAACCCGCAATTATCTCCGGCGCAACAGGGGGAATTACGATCGCTGCTGTGCGAGTTTTCGGATGTGTTTAGTAAAAAAAGTTCGATGTTGGCCGTACCTCCCTGTTGCAATATCAGAACCCGTATTGGCTGAGTCCGCTGGAGAAGGAACCTGTGCAGAAAGTGGTAGATGAGATGTTAGCCGCCGATATTTTTTCTCCTTCTACCAGCCCTTGGGGAGCGCCCATTGTGCTCGTTAAGAAACATGATAGCAGTCTTAGATTTTGTGTGGACTTTCGGAAATAGAACAAAACCTCGGTGGCCAATGCATACCCGCTCCCACGTATGGACGATTCCATGGACGCATTGTCCGGCGCGCGTTTTTTCTATACTCACGGCTTGTTAACGGGGTTTTGGCAACTTCCCCTTGACGAGTCGTCGAGACCTAAAACCGCGTTCCGTATGCTCCAGGGACTTTTACAATTTAACTGCCTTCCGATGGGATTGCACTCAGCACCGGCCACTTTTCAGTGGTTGATGGAACTCGTTTTGGTTGGCCTGCAGTGGGACTCCTGCCTCATCTACTTAGATGACATCATTGTGTTTAGCCGAACTTTTGAAGAACACCTCCTGCGACTGCAAGCTGTTCTTGTTCGGATGCGATCGGCTAATCTGAAATTTAAGCCTGCTAAATGTAATTTGCTGCAAAACTCCACGCGATACTTAGGCCACATTGTCAGCGCGAACGGGGTAGCCACGGACCCCGAGAAAATGGCGTGTGTGCGAGACATGGTCGACCCCCAAATCTGTGGGGGAGGTCCGAAGTTTTGTTGTGTTTGCGTCGTATTATTGTAGATTTGTGCCACAACTTGCTACAGTGGCTAAACCACTACACGCCTTGACGGCTAAGAACCAGAGGTTCAAGTGGGGGTCGGAGGAATTGGCTGCATTTATGGTTCTTCGTGAACGCTTGGCTGATGCGCCCGCACTCGATTACCCTGATTTCTCCCTGCCCTTTGTTCTTCACACAGACGCTAGCGACATGGGTATAGGTGCCGTCCTTTCCCAGGTTAAGAATAGTGTGGAAATAATGGTCGCGTACGGTAGCCGCGTCTTGTCTACGGCTGAACAGCGTTACTGTGTCACCCGTAGGGAACTGTTGGCCATGGTATACTTTATACAACAGTATAGGCCTTATTTTTACAGCAGGGAATTTGTGGTTTGCTCAGATCATGCAGCCCTTCAGTACTCCCTCAGAGTGGACCAACCCTCCGGGCAGCTCTCACGTTGGCTGGAGATTCTCTAGGAGTGCTCGTTCCGAGTGTAAAGGAATTCAGCATTGTAATGCTAACGCGTTATCCCGCTTACCTCAAGGCAATAGGTGTGCGTGCGCGTCGGGCGCGGGTCGTTGTAAACCTCCAGCGGCAATGCCCTCGGCTGTCATGGCGGCGCTTGGGGGAGTGGAGCCTGCCGAGGAGATTGCGTCGGGGGATAGTGTTTTACACCTTGCGCGTGCCGAATGAGGAGGATTGCAAATGGAAGATGTGTGCCCCTTATGACCTTGCGGCATCAAGCGGAAGCAGGGCGAAAAGAGTCCGCTACCTCTGACGGCCTGCGACCGGTCCTAAGGGACGGTCTTTTTCTGATGGACGAGAATGGATCACACCGTTACCGTGTTGTAGTTCTCACTGCCCTCCGAGGCAAGCTGACTTGGGGGGTGCACGTGGATAAGTTGTTACACGTTGGGGTTAACGTTGCAACGTGATTATTATTGGCCGGGGATGTCAAGCGACGTGCAACTACTTCATTCAGTGTTGCACGGAATGCGCACATAGGAAACCGCCGCTGAGAAAGTCACAACCTCCATTGAAGTCTATCTTGGTTTCACGCATTAATGAGTTGGTCGTACTCGATATCCTCGGGCCCTTTCCTGCCACGCAAAGGGGAACAAGTTTCTATTGGTAGGGGTTGAGTATTTTTCACGATGGTCTATGGCCTGGCCGCTGCCCGACCAGTCGGCAGCCTCTATTGTGGATGCGTTTTTGCATGGATGCGTGTTGGACAAAGGTGCCCCCGAGCAGCTTCTCACGGATCAGCGTCGGAATTTTTCCTCTAAGCTGCTATGAGAAGTTTACAATGTGCTTGGCACTAAAAAGATTTGTACGTCCCCGTACCATCTACAGACGGACGGGGTGGTAGAACGGCTGCATAGAACCCTGGCATCTATGCTCAGTCAAGCAGTCAGCACAGCCCAAATTGATTGGGATCTGCATATGCCAGGAGTGTTGGCCGCATACAGAACAACTCCCCACACTTCCACTGGATTTTTGCCTTTTTTTCTCATGTATGGGAGGGAGAGTGAACCTCCCATGGAGATTCAATTGGGTTTGTCTGAGAAAAAGGGAAAATCAAAATTGCCTGCGCCTTTGGAAATTACTTTCGAACATGTCTCAGCAGCTCGAGAAGCAGCGAAATTAAACACCGCCAAAGCACAGGCAGCCAACAAACGAAATTCGGGGCAGCAAAACCAGGAGTTGCATTGGGCTGTGTAGGACCGAGCGTGGTTGCATTGCCCTCAAGTGGGAACGTCCCCTAAACTGTATCGGCCATGGCAGGATGCTGTGGAAGTGATGGAAGTCAAACGACTGCAGTGCATGCGTATACGAGTTGGCTGTCGCCGTCGGTTTGTTCATCCGTCACGGTTGAAGCCTTACATTTCTACTCGGACTGACACCTCATCTCCAGATTGTGTACGGCCGGTGTCAGTTGTGTCTGACGAGCCGGGGGAGATGCCAATGGAGAGCGTGCGTCAGAAGGATTGTATTGTGCCGAAGACAGCTTCCGAGCCCCTAAACGACGGGGCCCGTGACCTCGCCGAACGCGCGAAGTCGTTGACCGAGATGGAAGCTGTCACACCTGCAAAGTTGGGAGCGGAACCGCCTTCTTCGAGTCTTCGGGCGGAGCCCACATATCCTGTGAAGAAGAGTGTCCCAACGGATGGACCGGCTTCGAGGACTCAGTCCAAATGTGTTAGATTTCGGTGACCAAGATTATTGCATTGTACGTGTGTGTATGAGGGGAATTGGGGGGGGGTTGCGCTCGCGTGTTATATAGAAGAGAAATTTTTATTTTTTTCCCCTCTCTGTTCCTCTTGTCGTTCTCTTACCCCCATATTGTGCTGGGTTATTCCTTCCCCTTCATTGCCGATCGTTCTGCCCTATTCTAAAACATGTTGTTTCGTTGATTCTAGTTATGGCAGAACTCTTCTCCTGCCTCGCGTGCATTTCATTATTTTTATTAGCCGGGACGGCTATCTTTTAACCTCGGGGGGGGGGGGGGGGCGGGGGGGGGTGATGTAATAACAGGGTGACATCTGTCGGCCTGAAAGGGTAATTGCGGTTATGGGAATATTACGTAACGCCTTATTATAAGAGGGGCGTATCTGGGGTAGCGGTGAAAGGCGGAGTTAGTCCAGAGGCTCCGGGAACCTGCTAGAAGTTTCTGGAAGGGGGAGTGGCCAGAGGCGGGGCTTGGCCGCGCCGGGGCACATATAAGGGGGGCCGAACCAGAGGTTCGGGTGCTGTTGTGGGTCCTGGGTCCTGGCTGCGTCGCTGCTCGTCGTCATCTTTTCGTCTCCGACCACGTGGCTGTTCTTTTGCAAGACCCTCTCCATCGCTGTGCTAGTTGGACAGCTAGCGTAGCGTATGTGTTAGGATCGCCCATATGTAGCTGCGTTACATAATTCATCGCCCCCGTGTGCTCTTAATAAACAAGAATCCTTCTACTCGATGTGTCTCGGAAGTCGCTCACTACACATGGATAGACTTTGTAAGCAGGCTTTGCACTTGTCCAGGATGCACGGAATATGTGGTTACATTCCTACAGGTTGAAATGTCTCTAGTAAATTACCAGAGTGTGCTGTGCTATTCTGTTGTGTACCATATCCCAATCCCAATGTGGATACTGCATTACTGGTCCTTTTGCAAAAGCATCTTGATGGACTCTGACGTCTGTTATACATTTTTTTTCACTGTATATAAACAATGTCAGTGTCAGTTTTTCAGTTGCAATCCATGTGAAATAAACGAGTGCATGGCTGTTTGTAGACCGCTTGAGTAGAAGCTGGCTCTTGTTATTGGAAAACATAAAAAAATATTTACGAGCAATAGAGCCTGAGTGCCACCATCTTTGTTCCACGATGTTTACACGTGTATGTTGAACTTCTTACGTAGCCAATCACATTAATCGGAGGTGCGGGAGAAGGAAACAAACTTCACGGAAAAAGCCAGTCCTAAAGAAATTATTTTTCAATATCGGTGATTTAAAAGTGTGCGTAGCCCCAGTGGCTTCCTAATATCGGAAGGAGGAGCGTTCCAGACAGTCGCAGAATCGCATCTAAAAGCGTGACCATCTTTGTTCAATGGTTAGCCAAAAGTCGCTGCTGTGAGGATGACCGGAGTTCACGTGATGGTGGTTTATGCTCCTTGGCGAGATCAGCAAGGTGTTGCGGTTGACTTTGTGACAAGCACTTTGTGTGTAATGGAGTGCGACCTTATAATATATTTGTTCGGCAACCGGAAAACATCTAAATGTAGGATATGTCTTAGTGCAATTAAAGGAACATATTTTGGTGAAACATGTAGAAGTCACATCGCTTTGTAATTTATTCACTTAGCGTATTGGACCTTGATATTAAATTATATTGAGTGGTCGTGACCATGAGTGAGTGATTGTATTTCATCACCTGTGAACGCCAAAACATTATGCGACGTTTATTCTTTGGGTACGGTCCCAGTGTGGACTATGGTAGCCAGCCCCACAAAGCCACTTATGCAACTGGCGCAGCTGTTCAGACCAACTAATTCTCAGGGTCAAATTACACGGTGTTTGTTGCTTATGGCCGTGCACGCTCACTGGTCAAGTCTGTTGGCTGGGTTTCTATTCATGCCACGGTTCAATTTTCACATTTACATCTGCGACTTAATGTAGTTCGTGTATACGAAAAGGAAGGATGTAAATCTGTGATCTTTAAAGTGACAGGGTCTTATATTAGTTGTTAATTTTCCTGTCCTTAAGGTCAGTGTGTTTCACTTGTTGGAAGATATTTCACGTGACAAGCTTGGATAACTTCACCGAATTATTACACTTCTCCAGACTGTTTTGTCAGTTCTTAAGCCTTTTCAAGTAATTTGGACTGCATTTTACAATTGCCTAAGGTCTGCCGTCCCCTATATATATTTTGATGTTATCAGCCAATTAATAAGCATTTAGCTCTTTCATTAGCCTTACTTTATAAGTTATGTTTTTTCCCCTCTATTACAGTCATTCACTTTCAAACTTGACATAGGTAGAATAGTACAATTGTGAACAAAATTATTGATCACATATTTTGCTTATAATCAGTGTTTTTAATCATTAAGTAATGGTAACGCAAAACTGGCCGAAATGTCTTGTTTTCAGATTGGCTCTCATTGGAGCCATGAACTTTGGTTAAACGGATGACTGGATTGCTTTATTAAAGTAATGTGAAAGCTCAATAGGATGCATTTTCTCATTTGTTGGAAATATTATGCAACGCAACAGGGTGCTTTAAAAATATAACCCATCGGTCATTGTGCTCGCCACTGAGCCAGTTTCCACTGATTTCATTGTTCTTAATCTCACAGCAGTCCACCAATGCTTCGGGGGAATTACCTAAAGCACAGCCTCATACGTCGCCAACTAATTCCTTTAGAACTGCTTTTTGTGTTTAGGGTGTTGTCCTTCCCCGCACCTCCGATTAGCACGGTTGGCTACGTACTGTGAAAAATAAGTTCAACGTACATACATCTGGGTAGGTGTTGTAACATCCTCAAGAATATATTATTGCATAGGGTTGTCATAGTTTATATCCCCCAAAAAATTAAACCTAAATCTTAATTGGAAGTAAATTGCGGAACTACAATTATCCAGTTCTCCTGTTGCAAACTAGATAACATCCGCGAACTTACCGCTGGTAAAAATGAAGGACGTTTGCTCGTGCGCCGTGCAGTGAGAGGCCTCGCGAGGTGACCGTGTGGCGGCGTGCGTCTGTGAGTAGGCCGGCCGGCACGTTGCGGCGTTTGGGACAGCCGGCGTTGGGCCGCCCATGGACATGTTGGAGCAATTGAAGGCGGCGGCGGCGGCGGCGGCGCCGGCCGCCTTCCTCTCGGACCTGGGCCGCCCCACGCTGCGCGGTGTCAAGCGCTGCCCCAAGTGCGGCACCTTCAACGGCACGCGGGGCCTCGGCTGCAAGAACAAGACGTGCGGCGCCGTCTTCCGCGACGGCTCGCGCCGCCAGGCCGCCGACGCGGTGCGCGTGATGGCCGCCGCCGCCGCCGCCGTCGACGGCCCCCTGTTCTCGGTGCGCGCGCGCGACCGGGGCCCCGACCTGCGTGGCTTCGTGGAGCTGCCGGCCCCGGACGACGAGCGCGGCGCGGCCGCGGAGGCTGCGGAGGCCGCGGGGTTCGCGCCGTCGGCCGCGCGCGACGGCCTCTCGCTGGGCGCCGCGGCGGCGGCGGCGGCGCCGGGGGTCCCCCGCTGCCACCTGCCGCGCTGCCAGAAGCGGCTGTCGGACGGCATCCTCCTGCGGCGCGCCGGCTCCGCTGGCGGAGACGCGGGGACGGCGGCAGTGGCGCGCTGCACGCACGTGCAGACGGCGCAGGGCTGCCAGGACCAGGCGGTGCCGCTCTCGCTCAAGAACTCGGTGCTGAACTCGCTGCAGGTTTGACGCCCCGCGCTCGGCACCGTGACGGAAGGGCCGCGCGGAATGCGGTCTCACGCCGCCCGTCAAAGAGTCTGGCCGGAGGGAAGGGGCACGCCTGGCTTAGGGGGAGCTGCTGCTCGGTCTGTCGGAGCGCTGAGCATCCCACAAAAAAATCAGATGGGTTTCACACCAGACCACCGTCTTAGCTTAAAACTGGTGTACGTAAGTGTAATTAGTTTGATGGTCTCGTATATATTTAGTCACGGCTTTACCAAAAAAAACCCAAACGTGTTTAATTTTGAACGCTCGCAGCGTTATCAGTCCACTAAGAATTTAGGAGGCAGACATTAAATTACCTCATCTCCATAGCCCAAGGTTTGTAAGTTCATACAGTACAGTAGTCTCAGCCTCATCTCTCGAGGGTGAACAACGACTCATAGAGTTGACTTTCCACTTCATGAGGTCTAACCAAGTTCAGAGGGTGGATGAAGTAAATAAAATAAATTAATGCAGAGCTGAGGATTGCAGTCTAGATGTTCTATTTTTCGATTTAAAGCTTTCGTGACTGCAAGGATTAATCTTCTTTGGTTCTTTCGGTAAAGTCACGTAGAATGAGAATAAAATAATAAATTAATAAAATAAAATGACACAATAAAATTCTCACGACGTTTCGGCCACAACACAAGTGGCCTTCATCAGGTGAAGGGACGAGACTGTCTCGAGGACAGCGCTGGAGCGAACTAGATGTTCTAATAAACAAGTCCCTCGAAGGTTTTCAGTCCCTGGCTTATGATTCCACTTCATAAGTATTTGAAAATGTGCTTTCCAGTGGAGTTTTATAATGGTGAATGCCTCATTATCCAATTGAATGCAAGCAGCCATAAATGGTAAATATTGATTAAACGTAGTAAGGTTTTTGTTAATTGTTTTTGTAACTTTTAATTGTTTTCATAACCCGCAAAAAGTGAATAATTTATTCCACGCCTCTTCATTGTTGACATTTGCAGTTTAAATGTTAATATTTAAACGATTCCTGAACAGCACAAACACTTATGCAACGTTACATTTTTCTCCGTGTTTCCTGCACCCCCTCCTCCACTACTCATGAACCCTCCTCATGCGCCGATCCATCTTCATCACTCTGACCGCTTATAGCCACAGTTCACACCGATGGGTGAACGCAGTGAGAGTCGCAAACATGGGGGTTGAGAGAAAAAGATGGACAGTGACCACGACATTTACAAACTACAAACTTGGGGGCAGGAGAACAATGGAAATGGTTAGAAATATAAAACAGTGGAAGATAACAACATAGCACAGTAATAGAGAAATATACAGTACTGGCTGTACTACCCGGTTTCGCCCGGGACTTGGATCCACCCCGCCCGGCCACCTTTGTCTTCCCAGTGGCGATGTTCACACACCACAGCAGTTACTCGTTTGAGGCTGAGTCGACCTAGGGGAGGCCCAGGAGCGGTTGAAAGAATCGTCACCGGTGGTGGCCGTGAGCGGGAATCGAACTCGGGTCGCTGGGTTCGTAGCGCAGCGCGCTAACCACTACACTACAATGCGTTACGCTTCCACATGCGAGGATCACGTGACAGATTTGACGTCACAGCGTCACAGCTCACTTGCCGTGCAAAAAAATGCAATATTGAGCTCCCCCCCCCCCCCCCCCAAAAAAAATACAAAAGTGTATTTTTATAATTTTTGCATGGTGTACAGTCTGGAAAGGACCCACATGGCAAATTTCAAGTTTGTTGCATGTCGGGAAGTACGCTAAACATTTTGAACAGACACACATTCACAACTTTGCCTTTTATATAAATGGAGATACCTATAAAAATAAACATGACTAACATAAATAATCTTTATCTGTGCAAGAAACTAAAAAGTGAAGAAAATTATCTGCAAGACGACTCAACCCCGGGCCCTTAATGCTTTGATATTTGCATTTTCCTTTGTGATGTTCGCCTTTTGGCATTCTCTGGTCTAACACCGGTCTTCTCCTTCGTATTGCTGGGGCAACAGTTTATAGTTTTGATGTCGAGGTGAGGCAGAGTGAGTGGTCGTGATGCCACCGGGAATGGATCTCTCAAGGCCGGGAGTTCGGTACGTGGGGCCATCGTCCGACTTGGGTGGTGGCCAAAGTCGCAATTTGGGCCGCTCCTCACGCTCCACCTGTGTGGAGCAAGCGGGCAGCGTCTTCGTCCCTGGCCCTGTCCTCGCGCGGTCGAGGTGTTGTCCCAAGTTTCCCATGGAAGGTCTAACCCTGCGACTTCATCGCTCGGGGTCAGTTACCAGGTGCCTTGCGATTGGCGACGTTTGCAGTCAACCAGGAGTTTCGCCACTGAGAGGTAGGGCTGTCATTGGTGTGTAGGGTTTGGACTGTGTTCCGCTAGGGGCTGCGGGATTTCAGACGCGTGTCTGTGGGGGGGGGGGTTTGAATTCCTTTGTCAGTGGGAGTGCTTCGTTGGCTGATAGCCGGTGGTCTTATTTTCGGTGAATGTTTTCCCTGCGGACGTCGGAGCATTCAATGTGAGATACAGCCATAAAGGAGGCTGTCTCTAATGTAGGCCACGCAGCTTCAAGGACAATGCATATGTTAGCAAGGAATGTTTGTTTTCATGTTTTACCATACGCATGTAGGGTTAATGCAGACTTGATGCCTTGCAATATGTGTCTTATTTGGTATTTGAACATCTTAACCCTTTCCCCATTGTGATGTTCACCTACATCATCGGTTTGTCTTCTGATTCCAACTTCCGATTCCGAACGTAATCGGACTTAAAAGGCCGTGTTGGAGGGCGTGTGGCACAGTTTGGTGTCAGCTATCGTAGAGTGCGGTCGTGTTGCTACAGTTCTCTGCGGTGAGTACAGTGTCTTTAAAAACAACGGCGCGACTACGCCTCTCTAAGTAAAATTAACGCCGAGCCGCTTCCGGGCTCCGAGGTTCGGCGGTGAACGGGACGCCACCAACCCTGCAACTTGCAGACGTCTCGGAACGGGCGAGGGTTAACATCTCCTACATTATTGCTGGAATGGGTAAGGCTATTCCTCTTTTCACCATGAAGAAAGGCGGTGACATCAAAGGAGCGTGCGACGGCTTACTCGGCTGTGCGTGCGTGCGCGCGCGTTTGGGCAGGTGCCGAGCGAGGTGAAGCAGGCCATCTGGCTCCTGGCCACGGAGACGACGGGGCCGCTGGTGCAGCGCGTCACGCGCTCCTCCATGGTGGTCAAGTGCAAGCCGGGCCCTCGCCACCCGCTGGGGCTGCTGCACTGCACCTTCAGCCCCCGCGCGCGCCCCAAGGGCCCGCCCGAGCCCTGGTTCCACTGCGCGTGCCGCCCGGGCAAGCGGCACTGCCGCAGCCTGGCGGGCACCGACCCCGGCGCGCTGTGCGTGCACTTCTACGCGTGCGTGTGCGCCTTCGCCAGCGACCCCAAGCTCTCGCAGGAGCTTGACGCGTACATCAACCTCGGCGCCAACCGTAAGGGCCCGCGGCCTCCCCCCGCACCCCCACCGTCGCGTTATTCGGTGAGATGAGAGCCGGGGTTAATGATCGTCCGTATGTATGTTGCACTTCTTTAGCAATGTACGTAGCCAACCGCGTTAATTGGAGGTGAGGCGGAAGGACAATAAGCTAAACACAAAAAGCAGTTTTGAGGAAATACGTTTTGAATCTAGATGATTTTAAAGTGCACAGCTCTCAGTGGCTTCCTACTATTGGAAGAAAGAGCGTTCCAGACGGCCACAGAAGCGCATCTGAAAGTGCGCGATGCGGTGCCCGCCTTTGTTCGATGGCGAGCCAAAGGTCTTGTCTCCAGTATAAAACACAGCAAACTAAACACAAAAGTAATCCACTGTATGTTGTTACTAACCCAACCGATAATAGGTACTGCATATTCTCAGATTAACACGGTCCACTCTAATTTATATGACCACATTAATCCCCCTCTGGTCGCCGCACCTGATAGGCTCACGGTGATGACATCACCATCGCTCTAGTTAAGACGGAGCCGGGAAGACTTCTTCACAATTCTGGCAAATCGCCTGATGAAGCTGGCTGCTGTAATCACCAGCGAAACGTCACTACTCACATCGTAAATGATGTGGGTTTACTCTTCAACACACCGGTGTGCTGAAGTAGTAGCTAATTGGCACATTCTGTTTACGTGACAAACCTTACTAATTGGTTGTGTTGGGTGGTGGCGTGTGAACGACACGTTTATATTCACGTGATCTAACCCAAAAAAATATTTACCATGGATGTAACAAATTGTTTGGTGAAGCGATATGGCCGAGTCGACTCGTGCGCTCGTTTGAGTTGACGCCAACCGCAATTTTCACTTAATAGTTTTTCAGTGTCTTACCGCCTCCGAGCCTTTGACCAAGTCACCCGCTGGACGGGTAACCGCCACGCGCGTGGAGATTGTTATAGGCCGCGGAGCTACGTGATGGGCAGCGGATGGCGGCGTGCCAAAATCCACTGCTGCGCTGTTACTTTGACGCGTCAATGGCCGCGACTTGCGCCTTCGAATCGCGCTGACCAGAATGGTGAAGTACGGTCAAATTACACCGACCCGCCAGCTCGGTGTGGGGAAGGCCCCTTTTCAGCAGTGCATTGACAATAATAACGTCTTGTATGTGTACATGACACCTCGGTGAACCGCACTGACCTTGTTAATCCGGATAACGGCTGGGTCAGCATGAGGAATCTTACGGGAGTTTGTGTCGTGGGGCGGTGGGTGGTGGCTGGGAGGACGCCGAGCGAGAGCCGCTCTGGAGACCGCTGACGCGGGCGTCCTTTGTTGACGTTGGCCCCCATCAGTGCCGGATTAAGCTAAGTGCGGGGCCTGTAGCATGATGTTATAAAGGGGCCCTAAATAAACAAAAAACACGTAAATATTAAAAAAACAAATTTTGAACTTGCATCGTAAAGTAATTGTAGTTTTTCATTTGCTATACAGTCAGATAATACGACAAATCGCTAACCTTAAACACCCAGTCGTTCATAAAAGTTGAAGGCGGTATAGTACTATAGTAATAGAGCAAGTGCAGAATCACTGAACCGGAATTGGTAGCTTGAAAGCATTTAGCACGGGGCCCTTGAAAGTGCAGGGCTCGTAGCATGTGTAGCTACTTTTGCTACTACGATAATCCGGCACTGGCCCCTTTTAGTCTCTTTCTAGCGTTGTTGTACAACACTCGGGTTCCCACAGCTCGAGACCGCAGTCTGTATAGCCTCCACTGTCAACGTGATTCCAGCTCGTGGTGCTCAACCCGCTAATTACTCAGACGAGTCGAGGGCAATTCACTTTAATCCGTTATTTTTCTGTAACTCCTTTCCCCCATGCTCAGTTAGATTAGTGTGTCTGTTTCACAGTCTGTTCTTATGAAACGGGGTAATAGTTACGTTCCTGAAAAGTATCACGTTATGGAAATATCTCCTTATAATAAATAATATGTAATAGAGGGATAAAGCACAGTCCGCGATAACACGTGAGATGCGTACGCAGGCCGAACAAAAACTGAGGCACGTGGGTAGCATCATGAAGCATCCAGCAGCATCCCGCCTTGTTTGATGATGCTACACCGAGGCAGCCGTGCGACCGCGTCCTCGTTATAAATAATTTCTTCCCGAATACATTCATCGCGTTATATCCCATTCGCGTTATGAAAACAACACGCGGCGTTATAGGAGAAGATACTGTACTCATAAAGTGAACGTGTTGCCAGCGTAACCGAGTTGAGATTTTGACACTCATCTCCCTTTGTGGCCTCGAGACGGAGGCAGGAATTCCTCGTTCCTGATGCTAAGCGGCCGAGGATCCTTTGCCAGTCTCACGTGTGGATGTGATTATTGTAAGGCACCGTTACAGCATCGATCGGGGCTCTCGTCGTTGTTGGGACTGCATTCCCCCCCCCCCCCCTTGCTCTAATTTATGCTTCCAAATAAATGTAGGCCAATCAAGGGGGATTGTTCTCCTTTCGCAAAAAAAAACCTGGATTAATCGCTGCCTTTCCGTCTGCAAAGGGGCGTGCTGATTTATTTTTTTATTCAAAAATGCCAGCTGTTAATTTTTCGATAAGAAAAAAAAATATGCCAGCTTTGTCGTGAGCTGCTAATATTTTCACAGAAAGTGTTATTCAGTTAACTCATAACTAGGACCCAAAATGTGCTTTGTGTGCACTATTACCACCCTGTTTTATGGCTTCTTCCTGCAACTTTTTAAATTCTTAATCCAATTAACCACCCTACACGTGGCATGCGAGATATTTTTTTTTTTACAATAACCAACATACCAGCATGCACAAGAGTCCATTGAATTTTCATCTACAAAAATAATGATTTACTTTTATAGTGTGTGCAGTTAAGGGGCGTGATGTTAAAGCGACCAGGCATTAGCTCTCTCCATCTGTCTGTAGTGGGGGGAAAATTATCCAGTTTGAACAACATTATTATAAAGTTGCGATAGCCTCGAGCAGCGGTGGCCAACTGGCGTCTCCTGAGCTGCATGCGGCTCTTTAATCCACCCACGTGCGGCTCTATCGAGGGGGCATAACGAGGAAGGCGCTGCTATCACAGTGGCAAAGAATGATGAATGTCTCCCGTGCTCTGTCGAAAACTGCCAATAAATATACACTTAGTATGTAATATAGACTTGGCTCTTTGCCGAGCTCATGGGTATTTGTTGGCTCTTGGTCTGTTACAGGTTGGCCACCCCTCACCTCGAGAGTACCGGGGAAATAAATTAGAGTTTGCCAAAACTTGGGGTGGGGGAAACGGCGCTAAACAGATTTGCTGTAGCGTTTGGAATGATGTGACGTTGTTAGATTACTTTATAACGAGATGATGACCTTATAACGAGATGACCTCATAATGAGATGACCTCATAATGAGATGATGACTTCATAACGAGATGATCTCAAAATGGGATGACTTCGTAATGGGATGACTTCATAACGAGAGGTGACCTCATAACAAGATGATGACCTCATAACGAGAGGTGACCTCATAATGGGATGACCTCATGACGAGATAATGACTTCATAACGACATTATGACTTAATAACGAGATGATGACCTCATAACGAGATGACTTTGTAACAAGATGACCTCATAACAAGATGATGACCTCATAACAAGATGATTACCTCATAACGAGATGACCTCATAATGAGATGATGCCTTCATAACGACATGATGATTTCATAACAAGATGACCTCATAACAAGATGATGACTTCATAACGAGATGATGACGTCATAGCGAGATGATGACCTCATAACGAGATGACCTCATAATGAGATTACTTCATAACGAGATGATTTCACAACAAGATAACCTCATAACAAGATGATGACTTCATGACAAGATGATGACCTCATAACGAGATGACTCATAACGAGATGATTTCACAACAAGATAACCTCATAACAAGATGATCACTTCATGACAAGATGATGACCTCACAAAGAGATGACTCATAATGAGATGATGACCTCATAGCGAGCACCTCGGCTTCTCTCCCGATGACGTCAGTACACGGGACGTCATCTCTCGCGATGTCGCACGTCATGCACCGTGCAAACTGTCGTGTGCGGCTTGGAACGTGACGTCATTGCCGCTGATTGAACACTTCCGAGGAAAAATTCAGTTTGGTAAGCGTCAGCGGAATCCGATCGTAAGCAAGATGTTCCTTGATTTTTGCTCATCTGCCTTGATTGAAGCACTGCGATCTTGATGTTTGTCTTCGGTTGTGTTTGGAGCAACACTCACAGCAACGAGCGGAGCGCCGGGCGGCTAAAACGCAGCAAGTTAGCACAGTGGGGGAGCACAGTTGGTGCGTCCGCCAGTCATCTCAGTCAGTCAACCCATGACACCTGGGTCTGTCCCGTGACCTGCTGTCAGCGAGCCTTTGAAACCTCACGTGGCCTCAAAGTGTAAATAGCCTGGCACAGACGCCATAGTGACGTCACCGCCACCAAGTGATTTTTGTTTTGGTGCAATTTCTTAATTTGTTTATACATTTTTGATTTTGCTTGGTAGTAGTAGGGTTTTCATTTGCTTGGTATGTGTGTGTGTGTGTTGGGCTTCTTTTGCGCCATACATAGCCAACCGCGTATATGGGATTTGTACAGCGTTGTGGGATGTAAGTATGTTGAACTTCTTTCACACCGTACATAGCCAACCGCACTAAACGGAGGTGCGGGAAAAGGACAACAAACTAAACACAAAAATCAATTTCTAAAGAAATGAGTTTTCAATCGCTGTATAAAAGTGTTATTATTACGTATTCGTGGCGACCGGCGGTTGCGGTTCATGTTGCTTTTGTGTTTTCTACACAGCGATGTTTGAGACGCAGCTGAGCGATAGCAACGTGAAAGTGCTGACGCCCACGAGCGAGCTGTGCCCCGTTCGAGGCGCAAAGAAGAGGCGGAAGGAAGAGGCCGGTGAGTGGATCACCTTTAGCCACAGCAGCCACAGTAGCCACTACAGCCACAGCAGCCACAGCAGCCACTACAGCCACAGCAGCCGCTGCAGCCACTGCAGCCACAGCAGCCACTGCAGCCACTGCAGCCACAGCAGCCACTGCAGCCACTGCAGTCACTGCAGCCACTACAGCCACTACAGTCACTACAGCCACTACAGCCACTGCAGCCACTGCAGCGACTGCAGCCACTGCAGCCACTGCAGCCACTGCAGTCACTGCAGCCACTACAGCCACTGCAGTCACTGCAGCCACAGCAGCCACAGCAGCGACTGCAGCCACTGCAGCCACTGCAGCCACTGCAGTCACTGCAGCCACTGCAGTCACTGCAGCCACAGCAGCCACTGCAGCCACTACAGTCACTGCAGCCACTGCAGCGACTGCAGCCACTGCAGCCACTGCAGCCACTGCAGTCACTACAGTCACAGCAGCCACTGCAGTCACTACAGTCACAGCAGCCACTGCAGCCACTGCAGTCACAGCAGCCACTGCAGCCACTGCAGTCACAGCAGCCACTGCAGCCACTGCAGCCGCTGCAGCCACTGCAGTGACTGCATCGAACACGGTGAATCTCCGCTCATAAACTCTGCAGTGATACTGCTCTTTGCCTCTACCTTCCACTGTGGGTGGGGCGGTTGTTTGCCCGTCTTATAATTCTCGTATGTGAGGATTTGAAAGGATCTCACTTAGTAAGCAGCGGAAAACGTGAGTAAACACTCATGAATGCACACTGGCAAACGTTTGAGTTTTTCTCATTTATTAATGACAATAAATACTTTTTTCTTCTTTAACAATCCAGGTATAGTGTTTTTTTTAAAATATTAATTCGTCTTTTAAAACATCTAATTGTTAGTATGTTTGTTATATGTTGGTAGTATGTAAAAAGAAAAATTCAATACAGCTGATTCTCGCATTGCTATCAGTGGTCAGTGAAATCTAAACCACCACCTACGCTGGCCAGCGTGGTGAACTATGTTCTTTGACAAAAGCCCTTTGACTGCCTTCCAACAGTCGAGTGCTCGCCAGTAGGTACTGACGTCGTCATAGCGCGTGGACGCCTCGTGCTTGGCGGGCGCGTGAGGTGGCGCCATGCCGGGTGTGAACGCACCGTCGCTTTCCTCTCTCTCTCTCTCTCTGTCTCTCCCTTCCTCCCTCCCTCTGTGTCAGCATGGCAGCAGGTGGGCCAGGACCCGGACAGAGGTTCGCTCGAGAGGACGCCGGGTGGCAAGAAGCGACCCGGATCGCCCAGTGGCAACCGGCAAGGTGTAACGCACGCAGGGGGACTTGAGTTCGCCGTCAGCCTTGCTACCGGTGGCAGGGTGGGGGGCGGGCAGAGCTCGGGGGGTTCCCATCTCTAGGCACCACGGTTGCGAGATGTTGACTATCTCGCCCGGTAAACAGGAGGTCGCGGGTTCGATCCCGACAGCTGACGCCTGCTGTATATTTGGAGTTTGCGTGTTCTCCCTGTCCGTCATCGCGTGGCGTTTTTCTCCGGGTCCTCCGGTTTTTCCCTCCACGCTGAGAATCAACATCACGCGTTTAGACTTTAGAGTATTTGTCTGCTATCAATTTCCACGTGATGATAAGCCGCTTCGCTGAGCTGTCATTTGTAATGGTCAGGTCGCTTCTCAAAAAGAGTTACATAGCTCAGTAGGCCTTGCCTGGTAAAACTACAAAAAAAATTAATCTGAAAGTAATTTTTCTATGAACACAGTTTCTGAGTACAGGCTCAAAGAACCGAAACGTCAAATGGCCAGCAGAAAATCAAACGGCACTATCACAGTTTTAATAGATAAGAGCATAGCTGTTACGCGTATTCTTGTACAGGGAAATTTAGTTTTCAGGTTCATACGGCGTAAAGCCGTTTCAATACGGGCTAACAATTTATTTGTTTATATGTTTGTGTTTCTCTGTAGGATGAACGTTGAGATTTATAAGGTCAACGGCGTGACCAATAAGGTCTGAATTGGTCTGTAATAAGATAGGGCACTGATAAGGGGTTGACAAGTGTGTAAGAGGGAACACGTCTGTTTCTTAAATTGAGCAAGGGTATAAGAGCTTTGGTAAAGAGATGACTGCTGCTGCAATGTCTCTGCTGTCCTCCTGGATTTGAAGGGTTACTTTAAGCTAAGACATTTAGAGAGTTTTCCATTTCAAACTCGACGAGAATGTCACGTGGCATTATCGCATATAAATGTAGGCTAAGGTGAACAAAAATATTTACACTGTATAGCATCACGTATACATATATGAACGTTGCATCTATTGTAATTGGGATTTTTAAACTAAAACTATTATATCTTCAAGGTACTAACTGGGGTGTTACGTTACTGTCATATATATGTGTGTATGTATGTGTTTGTACATACGTCTGTGCATTTTTGTTCCTGTTATGTACGTGTAGTTGCACACCCGTGCCATGGGAATGTTGAGTTTCCACAGCTGTAAACGAGAGATCAGAATCAGAAACGGTTTTATTCGCCATGAAAGTTCGCACAGACAAGGAATTTACTTTGGCAGGAAGGTGCATAAATTCAACATATAGGAATCTTAAATCTTAAATAAGTGGTATAAATTTCTAACTATACTGAAGGTACAAAGTCTAACTAACACTAAGGGGCTAAAGTATGTAAAATTTTGATTAAATATTGAATATAAAGTAGCTATAACATACAATCAAAAATACAAAAAATACAAATAGGGTAACATAGTGTAAATATGGCAAGGTGTCAATTTGTAGATAAAATGTTAAAGTCAGTGTAAGCCCTTGGCCTTGTTGAAGAGGCCAGCAGCGGATGGGAAGAAACTGTTTTTGTGGCGTGAGGTTTTGGTCCTGATGGACCGCAGCCTTCCGCCGGAGGGGAGTAGCTGGAACAGAGAGTGTCTAGGGTGGGAGGAATCGGCCACAATCTTCCTCGCTCGCCTCATGGTCCTCGAGGTGTGCAGGTCCTCGAGGATTGGTAGATTGCAGGCAATTACCTTCTCAGCAGTGTGGATGATACGCTGCAGTCTGCTCTTGTCCTTGGCAGTGGCAGCAGCGTACCAGACGGTTATGGAGGAGGTGAGGATGGATTCAATGATTGCTGTATAGAAGTGCACCATCATTGTTTTTGGCAGGTTGAATTTCTTCAGCTGCCGTAGAAAGTACATCCTCTGTTGAGCTCTCTTGGTGAGGGAGCTGATGTTCAGTTCCCACTTGAGGTCCCGGGAGAGAATGGTGCCCAGGAAGCGGAAGGACTCTACAGTTTTGACTGGGGAGTCGCACAGGGTGATGGGGGTGAGTGGGGCTGTATTCTGCCTGAAGTCCACAACCATCTCAACTGTCTTTAGAGCATTTAGCTCTAAGTTGTTCTGGCTACACCAGGTCACCAGGTTGTCAGCTTCCCACCTATAGTCAGACTCATCCCCACCAGAGATCAGCCCAATGAGGGTGGTGTCGTCCGCAAACTTCAAGAGTTTTATGGACAGATGATTGGAGGTGCAGCTGTTGGTGTACAGGGAGAAGAGCAGTGGGGAAAGGACGCAGCCCTGAGGAGTTCCAGTGCTGATGGACCTGGAGTCAGAGACTTGTGTTCTCAGCTTAACGTACTGCTTCCTGTCAGACAGGAAGTCTGTGATCCACCTGCAGGTGGAGTCGGGCACGTTCAGCTGGAAGAGCTTGTCCTGAAGCAGGGCAGGGATGATGGTGTTGAAGGCAGAGCTGAAGTCCACAAACAGGATCCTGGCGTAGGATGCTGGGGCGTCCAGATGCTGTAGGGTGAAGTGGAGGGCCATGTTAACTGCGTCGTCCACAGACCTGTTGGCTCTGTAGGCAAACTGAAGGGGGTCCAGGAGAGGGTCTGTGATGCCTTGGAGGTGTGCCAGGACCAGGCGCTCAAAAGACTTCATTACCACAGATGTAAGGGCGACCGGTCTATAATCATTTAGTCCTGTTGGCCTTAGCTTTTTGGGCACAGGGATAATGGTGGAGGACTTGAGACAGGCTGGTACATGGCATGTCTCCAGGGAGGTGTTAAAGATGTTGGTGAACACCGGAGACAGCTGGTCAGCGCAGTGCCTGAGGGTGGCTGGAGAGACAGAGTCCGGCCCAGCTGCTTTGCGTGGATTCTGCCTCTTGAAAAGTCTATTAACTTCTCCCTCCTTAATGGAGAGAGTCGTCTCTGTTTTTCAAATCTGCAGTAGTGCCGCCCTATGTCCTACACTTGTTCGAGTCTGAATCACTTAAACTTGACACGTGCTTGTGGTTTGCAGCCATGCAGTATGTGCACGTAATACACGTTTACTTCTAATCGTGTATTTGTCGGGGCTTCGGTATGTGATTATCCGTAAATTGGTGTTTAATGTGCTCATTGTACTTTATGTATTGTATTATACCGTATGTACAGGAACGTGCTGTAGGTCTGTATTTGTATGGGCTGTGTAGTGCATATATGAATGTGCATAGATATATATACGACTGCGTGCTACATATGATTTATATGTATAATATTCGTTTATGTGTTATCACATTGCAAAAAGCATTCAGCCAGAGATCCGAAATCGTATCTGCTGGTTTTGGGTTTAATCCAGCACCAGTTTCAATGGATCCGTACCAGTCTCACCAGTAAGATATGCAGCGTATATATGTTCCTAGGTATGTTTATTGTTTGTATGAAGGCGTACAACGCACTCACATGTGTGTGTGTGTGTTTGTGCAGCGATCGCTCAACCGGTGGAGGAGAGTCAGGTGATCTTGACGTTCCGCGAGTGGTTGTCCAGCGTGACGGAGAGAATCAACCAGACCATGCACTACCAGTTTGATGGTACGCAACAGCAACCTCGCCCACACAACGCTGCTAAAAACGACATGGAACGTGCACGCAAAGGCGGGCGGTCCAAGTGAATGCCACGGATGGACGTGCCGTCGGACACGTTCACCTCCTTTGGCTGCCACTCCGTCGTTCGTCTCGACCCCCCCCCCGCCCCGGCCAACGTTCCTACTTGCCACACGTCCTGCCCAATTCCACTTCTTAGCCCTTTCACGCTCAGAGTTTGCGAGAGTTTGTGCGTCTGTGCTCTCGAGTTGTGTCCCTCTGACAGATATATTCAGTTCGCGAACTTGTGGTACGTGCATTTTGTTCTTCTCATGTTTACCACGAGCCCCCCTTTGCAGCCTTCTACATTGTTAGAGCATTCTAGGGCCACAGTGGCGAGATGTTAACTACCTCGCCAGGTATACCAGAGGTTGTGGGTTCGATCCCGACCTTTGACACCTCTATATTTTGAGTTTGCATGTGGTCGCTTGGATTTTTCTCCGGGTCCTCTGGTTTTTCCCTCTACATTTAGAAACATGCATTTTAATGTTGCCAGAAAAAAGGGGAAAAAACCCTATTATTACATTGTGTTACTGGCAAAGGAGGTCTAATGATGTAGATGCTCACCCCGAGCCCTCATTACTTTGATAGTGGCATTGTCTTTGAGCTGTGTGACGCCTTTTGGCGTCATCTGGTCGAGCACCAATTGGGTCGAGGGTCAAAAGAAAGCCATCCCTTGGTGTGGACCAATCAGTTTCAAGGACAATGCATATATTATCATAGTATGTTTTTTGTTTGCATTTTGAGTGCAGGTATAGTGGTTAATGGAGACATGAATCCTTGTAAAAAGGTTTCAGTTTTGTTGCCAGAAAAAATGGGGAAAAAACCCTATTATTACATTTTGGTACCGGCAAAGGAGGTCTAATGATATAAATAGTTTAGTTTAGTTGTGTATGCCTGGAGAGTAGTGTTGTGGTAATTGGCACATTGTGCTTTGAGCTCATTACTGTTTTTCTACACCGGTGGAGATTGGCATTTGATTCCTGTATGTGCCAGCCTTGGTGTGTCACCATTACACAGAACGTGCTTGCCACAAATGAACCACACGACACCTCGCTGATCTCGTCAATGAGCATGAACCATCATCACGCAAACTCCGCTGGTCATCCTCACGGCAGCAGCAGCAGCTTTTGGCTAACCATCAACCCAAAGACAGTCACCTCATCGCGCACTTTCAGGTGTGCTTCTGCGTCCATTTGGAACGCTCTTCCTTCCGACATTAGGAAGCAACTGGACCTATGCACTTTTAGAACTACATTGAAAACCCCGTTCTTGAGAACTAATTCTTGCGTTTAGGTTGTTGTCCTTCCCCCACGACTCCGATTAGCACGGTTGGCTACGTACAGTGCGTAAGAAGTTCAACACACGTACATCACATGGGAAACGAGGGAGACCAGAACCCCTCCTGTGCTTTTCCGACCCCACCACCACCACACGTGCCCTGCTGGCTTGCCAGGTATCACCTACTCGAACAACAGTCTCACGGCACGCGTGGACGCGTGGACGCGTGTGTGTGCGAACAGGCAAGCCGGAGCCGCTGGTGTTCCACGCTCCGCAGGCGTTCTTCGACGCCTTGCAGCAGCGCATTTCAATGGGGAACAAGAAAAAGCGGCTTCCAAACTCCACAGTCGGTGAGGTCTCCGGCTTTGGACCAAAAGGCCATACAACTGCACGTGTCACCTCCGCGAGCAGTGACGTCACGGGCCCAGTTACACTTTCCTTTCAGTGCCTTCGCCGCTCCCGCCAGGTGCTGTACGTCATCGCCTTCGGAGCCTTCTCGTCGAAGGAGTTTTTGGCAGATGACAAAGCGGCCGAGCCGCCGTAAAATGTACGTGCGAGTAGGATCCAAACGCGTGTCCGTGTGCCGGTCAAGGCCTCGCCGCGTGGTACGCCTCGCGGTTAGCCCGCAGCTGGTGCAGAGAGATAACCCCAGCGGTAATCCGCTATCGCTTGTGCATAGCGAACGGTGAGTGTCAGGCGAGTGAGGGTCAGTGTTTGATAAACGGCGATTATTAATGTTAGGTAAGTGGTGTGAGACGAGCGGTGAATGTCGGGTGAGTGGTGCGCCTGGATGCACGTGAGTTGTGAGTGTCAAGCGAATGGTGAGAGTGCTGGTGAGGGTGAGTGTCAGGTGAATGGTGTAAGGAGAGTGTCAGGTGAGTTGTCAATGTTAGGTCATCTCAGTCGGTCAACCCAGCCTTCGACACTTCACGTCGCCTCAAAGTGCACCTGGCCTGGCGCAGGCGACGTGGTGACGTCAACGCCACTTAGTGGCGAATGGCGGCTGCTGTTGTTGAATATTCGGTGGGTGGTGAGTGTTGGTTGAGTGTCGGATGAGTTGTGTTAGGGTGAATGGTTTTAGGTGAGCTGTGAGAGTGACGTGAGTGTCAGGGTGAGTGGTGAGTATGAAATGAGTGAGTGTCAGGTGAGTGGTGAATGGTGAGTGCCCGGTGAGTGTGAGGGTCAGGTGAGTGGCGAGTGTAAGACTCGCCACTCACCAGAAAAATCGCCCGATGATGCTGGCTGTAATTAGCAGCGAAACGTCACAGTACTCAGATTGTAAATGTTGTGGATTTACTCTCCAACACACCGGTGGGCTGAAGTAGTAAACTCTTTGGCGTCTTGTTTACGTGAAAAATCCCTTACTAATTGGCTGTGTCGGGTGGTGGAGGGTTTCGACACATCTACACTTGCTCGATCGCACCCAAAAACTTTGATTATGAATAATATTGGTCGCGAAAGCCTGCTCCCACGCGTTAGACTGCTGCGCGCAATGACGTGAGCCAAGCGAGGGGTGTAGTAGCGTGCAACTCTACCGCGTGGCGGAAGTTGCCACGTTCGCCGCAGAGGGGAAACGAAAACCTTTTTTTGAGCCGGCCTGTAAAACTGAGCGGAACGGACGTTGCGTTATTTACAAGGTCGCACTCTCGTTACACGCACAGTGCTTGCCACAAATGAATCGCACAATGAGGAGACGAAGCGCACGACACCTTTCCGATCTCGTGAAGGAGCGTAAATCGCCGCGCGAACTCCGGTTATCCTCGCAGCAGCAGCAGTGTTTGGCTCGGCCATGGAACAAGGACGGTTAGTCACCGCATCGCACGCCGCTTTCAGGTGCGCTTCTGTGGCCGTCTGGAACGCTCTTCCTTCCGATATCAGGAAGCCACTGGAGCTGTGCACTTTTAAATCGTCCGGATTGAAAAACGCATTTCTTTAGAACTGCCTATAATGTCTAGTTTGTTGTCTTTCCCTCACATCTCCAATTAGCACGGTGGGCTACGTACGGTGAAAAAGAAGTCCATGCATACATTAATTCAGCTTTAGCCCTATGGGTTGGGCAAGTTTAAAAATCAAATGGTTGTGTCGGTTTTGTTTATGTAGCCATCAGTGGTAAAGTTGAGGCCACTTCAGCTTGCCACACAATCTCTCCAGAAGCAACCCAGAGCTTGAACCCAACATCTCACTTGACGTTGACATTCGGGCCCCTCGTCAGCAGGCTGATCAGAGTCGGTCAAACCCTGATGCTTAATCCAGCCATCGCCTCACTAAAACGGTCTTCACTGCGTAAGGCAGCAGGCTAGCCTGGTCTTGGCCACTGAGATTATTTCAATGTGTGGAGTCAGTGTCTAGATTTTGTTAAGGGTGTGTTGTACGCTGTTAAATAGTTATTTAACAGCGTACAACACACCCTTAACGAAATCTCAATAACATTTAACAGCCCGTGTAAAAATTTCCCCCAAGCATTGGCCACGGTGTTGCAAGCGTTGCAGTGAAATATTTTTTTTTTATAATTACCTTCAAATGAGTCACTGACTGCATATTCGCAGTGTTTCAACCATGCGTTCCGAGGGTAAAAACGAACCCCATTGTGCTCTGACCACGAGTTAAACACCGAGGCCGTCGTTTCGAATTACGTTCGAGACATCCCCACGGGAGTCTTCATCCTCCACCGCGCACTAACCTCCACGAGGTCGTGCGGGTCTCGATCAGGATTCGTCCGGAAGGACGCCCTGCCGCTGGGGACCTTCTCCAAGTACACGTGGCACATCACAAGTCTCCAGCAGGTGAAGCAGATCTTCAGCACGCCCGAGGTGAGTGGGCGTGACAGAGGCGGTGGGTGGAGCTCCTCTACCTGATGTCTCGTGTCTCTGTTCATGTGTCTCTCTTCATGTGTCTGTCTTCCCGTGTCTCTCTTCCCGTGTCTCTCTTCCCGTGTCTCTCTTCCCGTGTCTCTGTTCATGTGTCTCTCTTCATGTGTCTCTCTTCCCGTGTCTCTCTTCATGTGTCTCTCTTCATGTGTCTGTCTTCATGTGTCTCTCTTCCCGTGTCTCTCTTCCCGTGTCTCTCTTCCCGTGTCTCTCTTCCCGTGTCTCTCTTCATGTGTCTCTCTTCCCGTGTCTCTCTTCATGTGTCTCTCTTCCCGTGTCTCGCTTCCCGTGTCTCTCTTCCCGTGTCTCTCTTCATGTGTCTCTCTTGCCGTGTCTCTCTTCCCGTGTCTCTCTTCATGTGTCTCTCTTCATGTGTCTCTCTTCACGTGTCTCTCTTCCCGTGTCTCTCTTCCCGTGTCTCTCTTCATGTGTCTCTCTTCCCGTGTCTCGCTTCCCGTGTCTCTCTTCCCGTGTCTCTCTTCATGTGTCTCTCTTCCCGTGTCTCTCTTCCCGTGTCTCTCTTCATGTGTCTCTCTTCATGTGTCTCTCTTCCCGTGTCTCTCTTCACGTGTCTCTCTTCCCGTGTCTCTCTTCATGTGTCTCTCTTCACGTGTCTCTCTTCATGTGTCGCTCTTCCCGTGTCTCTCTTCCCGTGTCTCTCTTCCCGTGTCTCTCTTCCCGTGTCTCTCTTTCCGTGTCTCTCTTCATGTGTCTCTCTTCCCGTGTCTCTCTTCCCGTGTCTCTCTTCCCGTATCTCTCTTCATGTGTCTCTCTTCATGTGTCTCTCTTCATGTGTCTCTCTTCATGTGTCTCTCTTCATGTGTCTCTCTTCCCGTGTCTCTCTTCATGTGTCTCTCTTCACGTGTCTCTCTTCCCGTGTCTCTCTTCCCGTGTCTCTCTGCATGTGTCTCTCGTCCCGTGTCTCTCTTCCCGTGTCTCTCTTCATGTGTCTCTGTTCATGTGTCTCTCTTTCCGTGTTTCTCTTCATATGTCTCTCTTCACGTGTCTCTCTTCCCGTGTCTCTCTTCCCGTGTCTCTCTTCCCGTGTCTCTCTTCACGTGTCTCTCTTCACGTGTCTCTCTTCACGTGTCTCTGTTCATGTGTCTCTCTTCCCGTGTCTCTCTTCACGTGTCTCTCTTCCCGTGTCTCTCTTCCCGTGTCTCTCTTCCCGTGTCTCTCTTCACGTGTCTCTCTTCACGTGTCTCTCTTCACGTGTCTCTGTTCATGTGTCTCTCTTCCCGTGTCTCTCTTCATGTGTCTCTCTTCCCGTGTCTCTGTTCCCGTGTCTCTCTTCCCGTGTCTCTCTTCCCGTGTCTCTCTTCCCGTGTCTCTCTTCATGTGTCTCTCTTCCCGTGTCTCTCTTCCCGTGTCTCTCTTCCCGTGTCTCTCTTCCCGTGTCTCTCTTCCCGTGTCTCTCTTCATGTGTCTCTCTTCACGTGTCTCTCTTCCCGTGTCTCTCTTCCCGTGTCTCTCTTCCCGTGTCTCTCTTCACGTGTCTCTCTTCACGTGTCTCTCTTCACGTGTCTCTGTTCACGTGTCTCTCTTCCCGTGTCTCTCTTCACGTGTCTCTCTTCCCGTGTCTCTCTTCCCGTGTCTCTCTTCCCGTGTCTCTCTTCACGTGTCTCTCTTCACGTGTCTCTCTTCACGTGTCTCTGTTCATGTGTCTCTCTTCCCGTGTCTCTCTTCATGTGTCTCTCTTCCCGTGTCTCTCTTCCCGTGTCTCTCTTCCCGTGTCTCTCTTCCCGTGTCTCTGTTCCCGTGTCTCTCTTCCCGTGTCTCTCTTCCCGTGTCTCTCTTCCCGTGTCTCTCTTCACGTGTCTCTCTTCCCGTGTCTCTCTTCCCGTGTCTCTCTTCATGTGTCTCTCTTCCCGTGTCTCTCTTCCCGTGTCTCTCTTCATGTGTCTCTCTTCCCGTGTCTCTCTTCATGTGTCTCTCTTCCCGTGACTCTCTTCATTTGTCTCTCTTCCCGTGTCTCTCTTCCCGTGTCTCTCTTCCCGTGTCTCTCTTCATGTGTCTCTCTTCCCGTGTCTCTCTTCCCGTGTCTCTCTTCCCGTGTCTCTCTTCACGTGTCTCTCTTCCCGTGTCTCTCTTCCCGTGTCTCTCTTCATGTGTCTCTCTTCCCGTGTCTCTCTTCATGTGTCTCTCTTCCCGTGTCTCTCTTCATGTGTCTCTCTTCCCGTGTCTCTCTTCCCGTGTCTCTCTTCCCGTGTCTCTCTTCCCGTGTCTCTCTTTCCGTGTCTCTCCTCATGTGTCTCTCTTCCCGTGTCTCTCTTCCCGTGTCTCTCTTCCCGTGTCTCTCTTCATGTGTCTCTCTTCATGTGTCTCTCTTCATGTGTCTCTCTTCGTGTGTCTCTCTTCGTGTGTCTCTCTTCCCGTGTCTCTCTTCCCGTGTCTCTCTTCCCGTGTCTCTCTTCATGTGTCTCTCTTCCCGTGTCTCTCTTCCCGTGTCTGTCTTCCCGTGTCTCTCTTCCCGTGTCTCTCTTCCCGTGTCTCTCTTCCCGTGTCTCTCTTCATGTGTCTCTCTTCATGTGTCTCTCTTCCCGTGTCTCTCTTCACGTGTCTCTCTTCCCGTGTCTCTCTTCATGTGTCTCTCTTCCCGTGTCTCTGTTCCCGTGTCTCTCTTCCCGTGTCTCTCTTCCCGTGTCTCTCTTCCCGTGTCTCTCTTCACGTGTCTCTCTTCACGTGTCTCTCTTCACGTGTCTCTGTTCATGTGTCTCTCTTCCCGTGTCTCTCTTCATGTGTCTCTCTTCCCGTGTCTCTGTTCCCGTGTCTCTCTTCCGTGTCTCTCTTCCCGTGTCTCTCTTCCCGTGTCTCTCTTCATGTGTCTCTCTTCCCGTGTCTCTCTTCCCGTGTCTCTCTTCCCGTGTCTCTCTTCCCGTGTCTCTCTTCCCGTGTCTCTCTTCATGTGTCTCTCTTCACGTGTCTCTCTTCCCGTGTCTCTCTTCCCGTGTCTCTCTTCCCGTGTCTCTCTTCACGTGTCTCTCTTCACGTGTCTCTCTTCACGTGTCTCTCTTCACGTGTCTCTCTTCCCGTGTCTCTCTTCACGTGTCTCTCTTCCCGTGTCTCTCTTCCCGTGTCTCTCTTCCCGTGTCTCTCTTCACGTGTCTCTCTTCACGTGTCTCTCTTCACGTGTCTCTGTTCATGTGTCTCTCTTCCCGTGTCTCTCTTCATGTGTCTCTCTTCCCGTGTCTCTCTTCCCGTGTCTCTCTTCCCGTGTCTCTCTTCCCGTGTCTCTCTTCCCGTGTCTCTCTTCCCGTGTCTCTCTTCCCGTGTCTCTCTTCACGTGTCTCTCTTCCCGTGTCTCTCTTCCCGTGTCTCTCTTCATGTGTCTCTCTTCCCGTGTCTCTCTTCCGTGTCTCTCTTCATGTGTCTCTCTTCCCGTGTCTCTCTTCATGTGTCTCTCTTCCCGTGACTCTCTTCATTTGTCTCTCTTCCCGTGTCTCTCTTCCCGTGTCTCTCTTCCCGTGTCTCTCTTCATGTGTCTCTCTTCCCGTGTCTCTCTTCCCGTGTCTCTCTTCCCGTGTCTCTCTTCACGTGTCTCTCTTCCCGTGTCTCTCTTCCCGTGTCTCTCTTCATGTGTCTCTCTTCCCGTGTCTCTCTTCATGTGTCTCTCTTCCCGTGTCTCTCTTCATGTGTCTCTCTTCCCGTGTCTCTCTTCCCATGTCTCTCTTCCCGTGTCTCTCTTCCCGTGTCTCTCTTTCCGTGTCTCTCCTCATGTGTCTCTCTTCCCGTGTCTCTCTTCCCGTGTCTCTCTTCCCGTGTCTCTCTTCATGTGTCTCTCTTCATGTGTCTCTCTTCCCGTGTCTCTCTTCATGTGTCTCTCTTCATGTGTCTCTCTTCCCGTGTCTCTCCTCATGTGTCTCTCTTCCCGTGTCTCTCTTCCCGTGTCTCTCTTCCCGTGTCTCTCCTCATGTGTCTCTCTTCATGTGTCTCTCTTCCCGTGTCTCTCTTCATGTGTCTCTCTTCCCGTGTCTCACTTCCCGTGTCTCTCTTCATGTGTCTCTCTTCATGTGTCTCTCTTCATGTGTCTCCCTTCCCGTGTCTCTCTTCATGTGTCTCTCTTCCCGTGTCTCTCTTCCCGTGTCTCTTTTCCCGTGTCTCTCTTCCCGTGTCTCTCTTCATGTGTCTCTCTTCATGTGTCTCTCTTCATGTGTCTCTCTTCGTGTGTCTCTCTTCGTGTGTCTCTCTTCCCGTGTCTCTCTTCCCGTGTCTCTCTTCCCGTGTCTCTCTTCATGTGTCTCTCTTCCCGTGTCTCTCTTCCCGTGTCTGTCTTCCCGTGTCTCTCTTCCCGTGTCTCTCTTCCCGTGTCTCTCTTCATGTGTCTCTCTTCATGTGTCTCTCTTCCCGTGTCTCTCTTCACGTGTCTCTCTTCCCGTGTCTCTCTTCATGTGTCTCTCTTCCCGTGTCTCTCTTCTCGTGTCTCTCTTCCCGTGTCTCTCTTCATGTGTCTCTCTTCATGTGTCTCTCTTCCCGTGTCTCTCTTCCCGTGTCTCTCTTCCCGTGTCTCTCTTACCGTGTCTCTCTTCATGTGTCTCTCTTCATGTGTCTCTCTTCCCGTGTCTCTCTTCCCGTGTCTCTCTTCATGTGTCTCTCTTCCCGTGTCTCTCTTCCCGTGTCTCTCTTCATGTGTCTCTCTTCCCGTGTCTCTCTTCATGTGTCTCTCTTCCCGTGTCTCTCTTCCCGTGTCTCTCTTCCCGTGTCTCGCTTCCCGTGTCTCTCTTCATGTGTCTCTCTTCCCGTGTCTCTCTTCCCGTGTCTCTCTTCATGTGTCTCTCTTCCCGTGTCTCTCTTCACGTGTCTCTCTTCATGTGTCTCTCTTCCCGTGTCTCGCTTCCCGTGTCTCTCTTCATGTGTCTCTCTTCCCGTGTCTCTCTTCCCGTGTCTCTCTTCCCGTGTCTCTCTTCCCGTGTCTCTCTTCACGTGTCTCTCTTCCCGTGTCTCTC